CTGTAAGCACAACAAGCTCCGAAAACCACCCTCTTCAGAAACAAGTAGTTTGCGCCCCCCCCCCCCAACTCATGCCCTGTCCCCTCTAAAAGTGATGGTGGGCGCAATATTGTTGCACCCCGAAATGCATGATAATGCACCGTCGCTGGCACGACGTGCGCCCACTACTACGACTACAACCACTACTACTACTACTACTACTACTACTACTACTACACCTGCACGAATGCTGATACTAGTTTTGAATAGGGGCAGACAGCTGCCATATGTTCCTGTCAGCAAGAATCACCTCAACCATCGAGGCAGACCAAACGCGCTATCCTTGCTGAGCAAGATGGCAAAGTTTACCTCCGTGCCAGGCAGAAGCGAGCCCACCTGCAGGAGGATCTTAATCCAAACCATCGATAGCAATACCCAGGAACCCATTCCGAGCTGTCCTGAAGCCCCAGTGTTTCCAGAGTGCGTGTTTCATATTCAAAGTTGATTGCACAGGTAGGCTTTTGACATCCAAAATCGGTGAAGAACAGCAGCAACAGAAACAGCAGCAGTAGGAGTTGAAGGTTTAGGTTGTTGCCCTGCGCATCAACCTAAATTGTAGTTCCCGTCTTGTTTTCTATGCTCTTGTCCATTGGTCGTCCGTTCTTCTAGCCTTATCTACTTCGAACATACCCACCCTCACCTTGTGGCTGTTGGGGGGGGCATCATCAACTAATTCCAGCTTTTAATATTCAGCATGCATCGGCAATCTATTTGAAAAAAACCTTGTGCCAGCCTGCAGACATAACAACCGTACATTCCGAGCACTACCGTCCGGGTGGTGGGGTGGCTTACTTATGTGAGGCTTGGATTTGTTCATATTTATGCTCCACATTGTTGGGCACTCCAGGGATACCCCCAAGTTGGGCGCAAAAAGAGATTGGGGCACTGCAGGCAACCCGTGAGATACCTTGGGTCGGGCACGGCGCGGGAATACTCTGAGGTTGGGCAACGCAAGGATACTCTGCCGTAAGGCACTGCAGGGATACTCTGCGGTTGGGCACAGCAGCGGTTGGGCACTGTTACTGCTGGGATACTCTTGAACACTGCAAGGACATGATTTGGCTGGCACTGTGGAAGACCTGCGGTTGGGCAACGCTGGAAAGGGATACTCTGCTTGGGCGCTGCAGCGATACTCTACGGTTAGGCACGTGGTTGAGAGGGGTTAGTCGGTCATTGAATAGTTTGCGGTTGGGCACTGCACGGATGCGAGGAGAATATAGACTTCTCAAAAATCTAACAACCCAACTGTGATGCCAAGAACAACAACAACAAACATAAGCAGTCTCAGGCAATCAAGCGAGCAAGACGATCAAGAAGCAAAGCCCAATCAGGAAGGCTCTGTGATGAAGAGATGAAGCTGCCAGGGTCACCATGCCTGAGTTTTGTGAACATAGACGTCGTGCCCAAAGACCGCCTGTCAGCTCTTGCGGTTTGCACAGGTCATGAAGCCGTCTGCCAGTTGCAGCTCCAAGCTTAGTGACCGAAAGACATGTTGAAATCGGAAGGTTCAAGCTAGTTTTCAAGAATCAGATCATCTGCTTCCGCAGCTGTAGCCACAACAGCTCGAATGTAAACTGCTTTGGCCTTCAAATCAGGGCAGTCAATGAAGCCAATCCCAGAGCCCATCATTGGCTTGATTCTGCCTGTCCTCGGGATCCGCTGTAGAGGCAAGGGAAGTTTCATGATATTTTATTTCATATTCGAATTGGGCTTTGGGGTCCACAATGGTCCACAAGGTGCTTCGCGAGGATACTCGTAACGAGTCAGCGCCCTAGCATGCATCTGCACCCGAAAAAACGCAACAGCTCTTGAGCGGAGGCTGGTTGCCTTTTCTGCCATTGTGTCACTAGCGAGTTATCTGCCGAAATGTCTTTTTAGACCAGATTGTTTGCAAGGACAGGTCAGGTGTGACGAGATGCTTTTAGAGACAAGTGCACTTGGTCGGACTCTTGCTTCAAATCTGCTCTGAGATGCTGTCGCTCTTCTCTTTGACAAAGCGTCTGCCGGGGCGTATGTCAAGTCCTCGGCCACTTGAAAACAAACAGTGGAGACCCTGCCGGAATGCCAATCAACTTAGCTGTAATGTATTTATCCCTCCACTGTCGCGCATAGCATGGAAACAGCGACAACGGCATCAATCAGACTTTATGGAGGAAGATGAGCAATAAGAGGCAGCAGATCTGTCTCTGCCCTCAGTGTGCATTCGGGCTCTAAGGCCGCTGCGGGCACGGCACCGTTGACCACCCCCGGCGCGAGCTCAGGTCTCCGCTGCAGAGTCTCGGTTATGACCTGGCTCTATGACTTCAAGTCTTGAGCTTCTTAGATTTGAGGAGATTGTGGCTTGTCAGACGGAAGGATTGCCAGCCCACTCTCAATCCCCCCAACAGCTGCCAAACTCCAGACTTCTCAGGCTGACCATTCGATGCTAGGGTTCTGTAGTTCTGCATCTAGCAAAGTGTCAAAAAACCCAAGCAACGCTATCACCAAGGCACCGTCATCAGCGATGCGTTGTCAAGCGCTCCCAAGGCTTGGAGCAAGGCCCTCTGTGCACAAAGAGCACGCAGCGAGGGAGCTAAATTGGGATCCTTGTGTCTACAGTACTGCGCAACAAGTACAAGCATGGTCTTGGCTTGGGGTTGGGGCATCTTTCGTCCGAAGTGAATGAATTTATGCAAATACGGCAAAGAGCTCAGCTGCTGGCTGGGAGTCCATGGCCTCACCTCCTACAAAGACGTCTCCAAAAGGTCTTGCAAGGCACACAGGCTTGAAGCAGTACTGCGTTTTTGCTTGCCTTGCTACAGAACCGTCAGTCCATTCAATGACCCGGCTGCGGAGCTTGCTCAAGAAGCTCGGGTTTTCTTCTGCTGAGCTGCGAGCCGAGATGAGCCAAGCCAAGCCCAGTAGGCAAAACTGCACAAAATTTATAGCGGTCGAAATGCAGATTCCCAAAGGCAACCTCTCAAGCTCTAGACGATTATGGGTTTTCTCTAACAAGCCCAGACTACACGACGAGATGGAGCTGTGGCCTGAGAATGGCACGTCTCACGGATGGAAGGCGGCACTACGGGAATTCCACTGCCCTCGATGTGATCACCATCACGCTCATTTTTTGCCATCTCGCCATCACTGCTCCGGGCGACGTCAGTCGCTAAGCGCTTGTGAAAGCAATTCCATCTGCCTAAGAACCCTTTTCTGCAGCTTTTCTGCAAGGAATACAGGCTGCGTCAATCCCAAGACAATGTCAAACACAGGCAATGAATTCCAACGTGGCTTGGGATGTTCATGCAGCCTGGTGGAGCCCCAGCATTCGCTGCCGAGCCCAGTCTACAAACCTCAATGCACGTTTTGGAAACACGCCGCGACCCGCCGGTACGCATCAAAATTCCCCTCCAATTTGCGTTGTTCTGAAGAGGCCATGGAATAATACATGCATGAGATATCACGAGATCCCACACTGACTGCAAACGAGAGCCCGTCATGAAGTTGTAATTCAAGGAAAGTCCAGCATGCTCCCCAATCTGTTCTGCTGATCAGTATGAGGCTCATCTGGGCAAGATCATGTTACCAGACCCCTGTCTTGAGGCCCCTGCTCATCTTCTGGCAAGCATTCGGAGGAGCTGATCCCAAGGCCGCAGCGCCTCAGAGCGGTCAGAGGCAAAGTTCTGTCATGTTTGAAAATGGCTAGCATACCCATATTCCCTCTGCAAGATGGAATCGGTCAATGAATATGGGTGCCCAACTAATGTACCGAAGTCTTCCTCAAAGCCTGGGGGATCACCAACAGTGTTTCAAAGTGTGAACAGGTCTGCCCCTGGAAACGCGCTCAAGGATCGGAACTGACAAGAAGACGGCCATGGTGGGAAAAGTTGTAAGCAAGTAGCCTGAAAGCTGGTTTGTTGAGGCGGCAGCTGCGCCACTTGGACCGCCAGCCAATGCTTGCAGCAAAGCTCACCAGCCTCTCAAGGAGAAGTCTTCGCAAAGCCGCCTCTACAAAATCTTCCGTCACCATAATGCTTGGCGTGACCTTTCGAGTTTCTTGATCTATCTCGAAGACATGCGCCTCGATGACTCGCCGCCCAAAGTAAGGACCTCAGAGGCTCGCTGCAAGCACAGACCGCCCATGCCTTGGAAGCAGGGATCTTGCTTACAGGCCAGCACGAGTCTTTTCCCGCAACAAGGGAGCTTGGAGCCCTAGCGGACGCTAGCGTCTCACGAAGTGCCAGAGCTCGACTCGATGATCCTGTTTGAAGGCCCAGGCCTTGTCTCGGCGCGTTTGCCTATGCCTGCTCCTGTCCTTTACTGGAACGTTTCGTTCATGGACTTCAAGGAGCTCCAGCTGATCTGCTGCCTTCTCGCAAGCCTTCAATGGCGACTGGCTCACAAGCCCGCGCGATTCTGCATAGTTTGAGAATAGAATTGCCTCAGAGGCACGCAGCAAATCAAAACCAAGGGACTGAGGGAGTTCTTATTCCTGACTGCCTGCCCAGCTGCTAGATGCCCACCTGGGCGCAGAGCTGCAGGTGCTTCAGCAAAGAGCCTGTCAAAGAGGTCTGCGGGGTAATCGTTGCCAAAGACCACGTCGCCTGCACTGGGCTGGACCTCTGGGGCCCTGGGCACCCAAGGTGGATTGAAGATGATCAAGTCAAAGGGACCCTCTTCCTCGAGCTTAGCAAAGAGGTCGCTCTGCACCACTTTGACTCCCTGAACGCCCCAACGTTGCAGTTCTGCCCGGACCGAAAAAACAGCGTTTGGGCAAAGGTCGGAGGCAGTGACAGTCATGTCTGAGTACATGCTGCGCAAGATGAATGTGATCACCTGGGATTTGCAAGCTTGAATATTTGACATAGCGAACATACAACAGCTGCTGCTCCAAGGGATCTCTGAGCTCCTGACACCACATCCAGTGCCCAAATCCAGGACGTGCCAAGAATTGGCTGGCTTCAGCTTCTCCAACCAATCCCGTAGCAGCTGAAAGTGCTCCTTGGAAGTTATAGCTAAAGTCACGCTGCGACCAGAAGCAAGCTGTCAAGCTACCCGTGAAAGCAGTGACCGGCGTGCATGCTGCCACGGCTCCACAGGAGACAGAGTGAAGTAGACTCCGAAAAAGGGATGCAGCTTGTTGGGCAGGAAGCTGTACTCCAAGCCGTTTAGGAAGAACTGCCAGGCAACGTTCAGGGCAGTGATGTCGTTTGCGCGGAAGTAGAGTTTGGCAGCATCTTCGTACAGCACAGGCACGTAGCCCAGCGGTGGACCTCCAGCAGGTTGCAGCTCACCAGAACTGGAAACCTCAGCAAAGAGCCTTCTTGCACAATTACGCAGCAGCCGCCGCCGCTCTCGGTGAGCCTCCGCTGCGTCTTGAAGACTTGCTAAGTGCTCCGTGGCAACGACATTCAATGCCTTTCTGACCTCCAGCAAGTCCTTCCAGCGTCGTGTGAAGCACGCACTCTGGCCCGCCCACACCTTCTCAGCAATTTGACGCAGCTCGAGCGGGCTCCCTCCATCCACCAGAAGTGCCTGATCGACCTCCTCCTGCGCAACTGGCACAGGCTTCCAAATTGACGGCTCAAGAGGCGGCAGAAATGGAGGTGTCTTTGATTTTTGCGCTGGGGATGATCGCACTGCTTTGGGTGCTCTCGGCTTGAACTTTGCAAGGCTCCGCGGCTTCGATGGAGACTGAACACCGGACGATCGGCTTGCAGGAAGCGCGCGAGGCTGGACACGATGTCTCTTATCGGGCTGCTTGAGGCACAGCATGCGGGCTGCTCTGCAAAACCAGCCACCTGCAGCAGCTGCCAGAGCTGAACACAAAATCACAACCCCAACAACACGATTTTGGCCCTGCTCACAGAGTTTCCGGCATCCGTTTGGAGACCCTGTTCAATGTCTTGAGAATGTTGCATCTTTGGGGTCCTGTACAATCAAGAGCATCCTTTGCATATCAATCATCAGGACCCTCAGAACTGAGGAAGCGTTACACTCGTCACTATGCAACATCCGTCAACTTCAAACAACAATGCAAACTGCCATAGCCGCGGAGCATGCCACTGAAAGAAGGCAAACGCGACTGAAAGCATCACTTCCACAGTGAGGGCCAGCGATGCTTCTTGGGCGAGCTGTAGAGCCGCAGACCACAGATACCACAGATGCAACATGAAAATCAGAAAGCCAGGCATTGGCCTTGCCAGGGTGTTGAAGAGGCCATGAGCCAACCCTGCATGAAAGTCGGCTGGCTGGCGCCAAGCCTAGTGGCTCACAGAGCCACGCGTGCGTGGTGAAGCCATCTGTTCGCGGCAGTAGGAGCTCCCTTGCCATGAGCAATGGGATCTGAAGTTCTGAAGCAGATTGACCCAACCTGGAGAAATGCGATCTACTCTTCGCTAGAATCTGACAATCTCCACATGCGATGTCACAGTAATTCTTAATCTAAACCTGCTACGGATGTTTGGTGTGTGTGTGTGTGTGTGCGTGCCTCTTGAGGGTCAGGTCTAGGACACTTTCGCCTGCGGGTGCTCGAGGCTCAGTGAACTTTGAGCAGTCTGGCTTCAGCTTGCACGCAGGCTGCAGCCAGGGTTGCCATGCGGACGTCCAATAGCAAAGGCCGGCAAAACCTGGAACTTTCAACCCACTTTCCTTCCTTCATTCATCATGAGAGGCACGCCTTCCTGCCTGATGCAGACACCCTTGGATCAGAAAACAACTTCAACAACTACCAAACACTAGGACTCACGCCTAGGCTCTTTTGGCTCTTAGGGCAGCGCAGGAACAGTAGAGGCCCTTGGCCAGGACGAGGTGGGAAGTCTTATGGCCACGCACCTTGCCAACCCACGATGCTCCAATTTGGGTGGCCACTTGACTCTTGCACGATTCTATCTTCGGACACCCTGCTACCAGGAAATTCCTGGCCGGCCTCGTAGGCCCTTCGCCCCATCTGGCTGGTAACCATGTGGATACCTCTGCAGAAAGATGCGCAACATCTGCGTCATTGTCCGCAGATGTTCAAACCGCCTGCCTCCCGCCCTTCTTGAAAACTGGGCGCTCTACAATTCTACAAGTTACCTGAGGCACTGCCACAAACTTTAGGAACTCACTGTGTGTCCGGAATTTCAGGTGGGAATTGGTTCAGGCTACGCACGATTCATAAATTCAGATTTCCCTGAACACAAGATCCCCTGCACCCTACCACTAGTCAGCCCAAATACTGAACTACACCTCCACGAGTACCTGTCTGCAACGTCAAGAATGCGCAGGACCTGAAATTACCCGAGGCAATGCGATATGCTCCTCAGAACAGCATCACGCGCCATGTATTGCTGTCAGAGCACTCAAGCAACAAATCCGGACGCAGTCAGCGTTGGGTGGTGCTTAGTGTTGGTGGCCCCTACTTGATGCCTAAACCTCTGAAGCATTTCAAAGTCGTGGAAAGATGCCAGTGCCGGCGGAGCTGCTCTTGGAGTCAACAAGGCCCAGCGCCTGCAACGAGTAGATTCTAGAAAAAGACACATGACAGGAAACCAGATACTGTAATTCATAAGTAGATATCGAGCCTGACGTCCCAGTCAGAAAGGATACTCAAGCGGCGACAAACGTAGGTTTTACTGCGTTAAGACAAACATGCGGGTTGGACACGCAAGGCCACGTTGTCCTATGCACAACTCTGCACCAAAGGACACTGCCTGTTGCACCACTGCGTCGGGCAAAAGCACAGACCTGGCAGGGCAGAGCGACCACTGAGATGCTTGAGACCGTCACTCAAGAAATGTGGAGTTCTGTCGTCTCAACAACAACAACAACAGAGGTGGTGTGATCCCGGACGCTTGGATCCTGAGGCTCGAGCCACAGTCTTACAAAAGGCTCAAGTCGGGTCTGCGACTAGCGCGGACAAAATCTGCCTTTTTTTCACAGAAAGCTACACAATCAGATTGCGTAAAACACTGAGTTGAACCCTACTTCTGCAGAGGTCTAGACTGCCTTCGAAAAGCGTTCAGCTTGATTCCAGGAAGTTTCGCATGCTCACAAAGCCCTGCTCCAAAAGCGCGCCAGGCACTCAGACTTGCAAGGGCGGCCTGGTTTGAGAGCATGAGTTGCACGTGTGGCTGAGCTTCCAAAAATTTGCCTTGGGGTGGGATTGACGAAATTCTCTGCGAATTGTTTGACCTTCATGCAGAGGCTCAGCGATTTCGGTGATGGGTTGTCGTTAGTGTAAATATGAAGTGCCAAAGCCCATGCAGACCGACACCAGCCTCAGAAACCACCACTCGCCGCGCGCAAGGCACGCGGGATGCCTCCGAGCGATTTCTGGAGCAAGGCAGTTGTTGCTGTCGTCGGCAGCAAAAAGCAATTATTATAGCAGGTTCTGCATGTGAGGGGTTAAATTGGAAATCCAGAGTAAGAATTAGCGCTGCAGAAGCACCCAACATATCGGGCAAATAGCAGTTCTCCAAACAAGCTTATGTAGCTCAAGCCTCAGGTTCCGCGTTCGCTTCTCGTGCCACATCCTCAGGCGATCAAAGGAGCAGGGCACAGTGAGCATGCTCTCCAATGGTCTTCATGCCGCATCTGACTGGATGAAGCCGCGAAAACGAAGTTGTGCCTGCCAGCTTCAAACCGCCTCACAGTCACACCCTGCCTGCACAGCACCGGCAACGTCATCATCGTCCACGACCTGATGTCTTCAAACGATTGCAGGCAGTGAAGAGAGGGTCTTTTTCACGTCAAATCACTTCTTCAGCCCTCAGTCAAGCATGCACCAGTAGCGTGCTAACAGGAACAATGCCAGCGCTGAGCCACTAATTCCAAAGCGCTCAAGCCTGGAGGGAAGCATAGTGCTGCACTATGCTGCCATGTGAACACCTGTGACCATGTAATAGCTAGGCTAGACATGATGTCTGGGCAGAGCGCCAGCGCAGCCAGGACGTCCTGCAAAGCCTCCCAGCAGTCAAAGCATGATGGTTCTCAAGACCCGTGCTGGACCCTTGAAAGCTCTACATGGGAATTGAACCTTGAAGCGGTGCATCCTCGACGCTGCGGCCATAGCTGCTAACCAGTGGGATTGGGTTGGACTTGACCAGACTGTGAATCACCTTATACGAGCCTGGCAAAGACGTGCTGTACTACAAGCAGATCCCAAATGCGATGATGCCTTAATATGGTGCGTCAGCTTAGAGTCACCTGCTAAGGGGGCACGGGGGCAGATTTTGAAGGATTCATTGCATCTGATCTGAACCTGCTGTGCGTGGCTCAATTGACACGCCTCTACACCTTCCCATGCGCTGCATTACTGGCTGGATAGTTGATGCAGTTGAATCAAGACCACGTGCGGGTTGCGCACATTTGTTTTAGGCCAAGCGCCTCAAATCGAAGGGCGGGACTGCGAGCTTTGCGCTTTGTCCGCCTGGATGTCGCCTCGAAGCTAAAGCTCACAAAGCTGACGCTACGTGCCATGCCAACCGCTGTATTTGGCCTGCCGACGAGGCCATACAGCTGCTGACCTGCAAAAAAGTGGAATTGGTGCAATGTGTGTTCATCACGGAAACTCGGAACTTGCTTTAGCCAGGAGCCTCTTTCGGCAGCTGCTTGCGCAGAAGTTCTGCCTTGGCAGCATCGTTCTTCAGGGCATCCCATCGATAGTACCTGAGGCATGCCATGTTGCTAGAAGTTTGCTTCCATGACTAGAGTTTCTCAGGAATGGTTGCCCGCTTACCAGGATGAAGCTTCCGACAGCACTTCAGAGGGGATGTAGATCTTTGTTCTGACATGAGTGACAGCACAGTTCTTCTTCTGAGCCACGGGATGACTGTGACGTTGAAGCCCATGGCTTGGATCATCTCCTGAAGTCGCAAACAGCGCGCCCATGACAACGAAGCCACGCATTCCTGCATGCCTGAGCTCTTAGACAGACCCCCTCCTGTCGGCGCCGTGCGAGCGCAGTTATCTGCGGGGAGCGGAGGTAGAACTGCCATGGTGCAGCTGCCTCCACGACCACCATGCTGGGCATGTGCCTTGACATGACTTGCAGGTTTGGCGCTTACAAACCGCAAGAACTGCGAGAAGCTGAATAAGCAGTGCTGCAGGTGAGGCACACCATGTCCAGGAGCACAGGGCCCGCAGAAATCTTGTTGCTATGCTCCACACCCAGGGCGGTGAGCATGCGACTGATGTCAGCATGAAGAGCTGAGCTGAAGCGCTGCTTGTCGAAGGTCGGGGCTTGGATGAGGCTTGGCGCTTCATCTTCAGAGTCCTCAGAGTCCGAGTCGTCCTCCGCCTCTTCTGCCTGCGCCGCCTGCGCCTGGGCACGGGCCCGGCTTTCCTCCGCTGCAGTCCGAACCTCTTGCAGAAAGAGACGTATGCGCTCGTCCAAGGAAGTCCACAAGTCGGGATACAACAAGTGCACATGAGCTTCCACCACTTGCAGGTGTCGAGAGTACCAGAAGTCGTTCCGCCTGCTCTCACACTGCTCCAGGTACGCCTGCAGGGCCTGTGGCTCATTCAGCAGCTCCATGACAGCGATGGCCTTCAAGTTGGCCAGGTGACGGCCATCCATTCGAGGCAGCCAAGCTTCCAAGGCCACTTTCAGCGGCTTAGCCCAGAGCCTGAAGCAGTTCTTTCCATTACTCATATACGGTTGCCTATTGAGAAGCAAGCCCTGCGAAGCCCTGCGAAGCCGAGAGGCTCCTTTCCCAAGTCCAGCTTGGCAACGGCGTTTGCAGCTTTCACGAACTTCTTCTCAGGTAAAGCTCGCCAGGCGAGGCTCAGCTGCTGGAGGACTCGGTTGGCCTTCGGGATACATGGGGATTTCTCAAATTAGGGGTACCCTTTTTTGGGTTAGGGGAAGAGCTGAGGCCACCTTTGCACAACTCAGCAGGTGCAGCTGAAGCGGTGAGACACAATAGCTGCAGCGCCGCCGGAAGAACTGCTTGGATTTCCATGACGGAATCAGACTTCCACAACCTTAGCCTAGTCACATAATCAGGGCGACAGGTGGCTTGGCAGCGCTAGCGACAGCACGCTTGTGCAAGGCAATGTAACATGAAAGGTCGTAGCTCTTCCTGGCGTTCACGCAGCGTTACACATTAGACTGCTGTTTGCTCTGCAAACCCGTTGCCCAGTTGGAGAGGACATCTGTAATTTAGATGAGTCCTCACCTCGGAAACATGCTCCTGCCCTATCTTTTGCAGCGTGCCTCTCTAAACGTCGGGCACTCTAGGCTTTTGGGCCCCTCATTGACGTGCAGCGCCATGGCAAACCACAGGGCGCCAGTCACGATCACATATCCTGGAAAGCAGACTTCCTGATTGAATGGACAAGTATCTGAAGGCTTCATACTTGAAGATCGTCCACAGGATTGCCGCCAGGCATCTGGGTGGCCGATGACCCCTGGAAACAGCGAGATGGGCGAAGAAACCACAGCCTTTGCTGAAGCGGAGCTTCCACAAGTTTGCAGGCACGCAACCCGAAAATTGCAAACTAGTTTCCAGCTTCAAAATGTGACACCGCTGAAGAATTGCCGGCCGAGCTGCCAGCGGCGTGGGCTGACACATCCTCGCGTTCGCTGTGGAACTATGTACCTGCAAGGATTTGCCTCACTGGCTGCCCATTGGTGGCACAACATCAGCTCCGGGCGGCTGACATATGGTTGGAGATTGCCTCTGTAGTCACTCCTGCGGCAGGGGTAAAGCAGCAAACCTGCAACTGCTGGCATTGCTCGCATCGTCACCAGGCCTCCAAAGCGAGGGCGGCGGCCCACCGACGTAGTTGTAGTGAACCTGCCCCCAGCTTCCGGGAGGTCAAGCCTGTCCTGCCCTTGCTTCAACAAGCCGAGAAGCCTCCGATGCTGGTGGCCTGAGATCTCACTGAATCTCACTCACGAGTAGACGTGTATGCTGCATTGTTGTGCCATGGTCTGCCTTGGAAACTGCTCTGCCACTTCAAAACTTTCTAGGCAGCATTGATGCGCGTGCAGGCCTAACTCCTCGAACCACAAGAACAAATGTGCTGACATCAGCGATTCTGTGGGCTATTTCGGGGGGTCAAGTGTAAGGTAGCAACTTGAGCGGAGCTGTCAGCGGGCCGGTGTTCAGCTCGGACCGCTGCCCATCCTGAGCCGAGTCGACATTTTTGTTGCTGCGTCAAGGCTACTGGCATGCATGCTTTGGGCTACCAACCAAGCAATGCTTTCTATCTTGGCAAAGTGGAAACGGTCAACTACTCATGCAGAATTTTGTGACAATGCATGCGCAGGCTCCAAGCGACGGCGTTCTTTGGCGCGTGCCTGCAGCGCCAGTTTTTCCAATTGCTTCTCAAGCTAATTCGCTCAAGGTAGCGTCAGGAGATCAGAAACTTGAAGAGGTGTTCGGGGTCCAGCCTCCTCAATAAGCTTCAGATGTTTTTCCTTGGCAGCATGCTCCTGACCAACACAATCTCTGTCCATGGATTCCATCATGAAGCTGGTCTACAGAATTCACTGCAAGCTTACGTTCAGCAAACTTCAGTCCCGCTCGAGCTCGGCTTTTGTCTTGATGTACCTCGCCATAATACATCTCACAGCTAGGAGTACCACCTAGACACCCAAGCCCTAGCAGAAAGTTCTGCCATGCTGCGGCTTCTTCGGCACAGGTCGTGCAGGTGGAGGCGAGTTGTGGTCCACAAACTTGTTCCTGCAAGTGGGCAGGCGGAATTCTCCCGCACAACATGGGAGGGCACGTCTTTCTTAGCCTTGCCTGTACTCGGAATCAAGCTTCATCCATGGCAGCCTCAGCGCTTGCATGCCAAGCAAAAGCCACGAGACTCGACTATGAAATTCTAAGAACCTGAAGCTTTAGTGAAGGCACGTCCCATCCCCTCGCTCTTGGGGAAGCGCTGGCTCCTGCGCAATGCAGGCAGCGCTTCCATCGAGAGGTCACTACGTCACTACGCCTTATGAAGTCTGCGGGAACCTACCGCAAAAAGTGCTTGTGTACATGGGCTCTGGTATGAAGATTCAACCTTTCCTGACACAAAGGAGGCAATGACAAGGCAGCTCTCCGAGTACCGTAGAGTCCTCCGGAAGCTTTGGGATATCATCGCCTGGAAGAAGGACCCTCTCATACTCCTTCACCTGGAACCCCAAGCTGAGACCGCGGCACATGGAGCCGTAGGTCGACTTCCAGCCACAATTTAGTCGAAGGAGGGCTGCCTGCCACCTTGCCTTCAATGCCAGCTCATCCTGCATCGAGAGTGGCATATGATTCGCTGTGTTGGCACCTACTGGCCACTGCAAGCATCAGAACTTAACCTGGGGCTAATCTATAAGAACTTGTAACCTCCAGTCAACTAATTAGAGAAAGAGGAGGACACTACCCCCTTTCAGGCTGCAGCTTGCAAGTGTCGCAAGCGCATGCAGCGGCTACCGCGATGCCTCGCTGAGCGCCGGGGCAGCGAGGGAAGGCAGCGAGGACGCTTTGGAGAGCCTGAGATGCTTCCAAAGGAGGGATTCACATCGTCCGTGACAAAAAACGCCCAAAGCACCCCTCTAGCGGATGGCCACCCTGTGATGTATACATCCACGTGTCAACAATCTTGCCAGGTGCAAGCAGGCGCAAAACAAAATCTGAGGAAACCGCAGCGCAGACGGAGCCTTGCTGCCTGCCTCGACAACTGCCGCATTTGAAATTTGAGCGTCGAGTTTGGTTGGGCTTCTGAGCTTGTTACTGGAATCATATGAAGGGTACTGTAGGGGCTGGATCCCAGCTGCGCATGGTACACGAGGTGTGACAGCCGGGGGCGGTACAAAACTCACCGCACTGATCACCGAAGGGGCTGCTACAGAGACCTCCAAACACGTCGCTGGCAGAGAGACGCGAAATTTCAACCAAACTCTTGGCACACCGCTTTGCTGCCCAGCTCCAAGCCGGAGTCTTTTGGCCTCGGCGAAGTTCAGACATGAGAAGCACAGTCTCAGCACTCTGTGACCTGAGAGCTGGGCAGCGGGTCAAGAGCCCCAGTGTCAACATATGCCATCAGGGAAAGTACAGTCGGTGAGAACGCAATGCTCAAGAGGCTATTTCGCTCTGTGTCTGGTGCGAGGCTTCATGTGCGTGTCTGCCTTGTGGATGCTAATTTCTGTTCTACTGCCAAGGGAGCTGCCACTGCGTTGGGTGACCTTTTCAACACGCTGACAGTCAACACACTTGCTGGGGCGGATGTTTCGCTTGCGGTCCACATTCAGTGTCAAGCATCTGCTAGCCGCTGCGAGTGCAAACGCCACGGAAGCTTCGGCATGGTGTCTATTCTCGACCGACCTCCAACACCCTAGCCAAAGAATGCCAAAGAGGTCCACCATACACAGTCCAAGTCGATGCAATTGTTAAGAACAGGAGATCTTCACGCACCAGATTTCTTCAAGAACTACAACCTGCCAAAGCAGTCTACAGGTTCCGTGAGCTACGACGTCAACTTTAGACCGCGATTTCCATTTAACCACCTCTCCTTACAATTTGCATGTCGCCATGTGACATGGCATTTCCTTGAATTGTCAACTGGCTGCCATTATCATAGCACTTCTTGATTTATGATGTAACGAGGGAAAATTTTGGAAAGGCCGAGCCGTGCCTTCGGATGCCTTACGCGCAGTCGGCTCATGGCCTTGCCAAGACTGCGAATTCTGAAATCTTTAGATGCAGGCAATTTGGGGGTGACAGCTGTGCTTCATTTAAGATGTGCAGCACCTTGGCTATATGTTCAGCCTCATCCTTGCTACACCACCAGCACCCTGTTTTAAAACGTTCAAGCTTACATATCTTGGCCTGGAGGATGAAGAAGCACTGATGCCTGAGAGCATCTTAGGAGGCTAATGCACGCGACCGAAGAGTTCAGGTCCAGGTGAAACACAAACTGAGGAGCCTGTGTGAAAAACCTGGAGATTGCCTGTCTTGCGATTGGAGCAGTTCGTGACAGAAAGAAAGCGAGCAGATTGACGATGATGTGCGCTTATGCAGCCCTTCAGTATGGGTTGGTGAAGCATGGGTGTAGCCAGGCGTAACTAGCGGCTCACGACCATGTTGACTATTGTTCTTGAGGCTTCCACGGTCGCAAGTCCTTCAAGTGCTCAAGCCTTGGCTGTAAATCGCAGTGCCGAAGACAGCTCGCATGAAATTGCCAAAACTCCAGATCGAAGAAAGCTGCTATCCGAGCCGCACCCGGTGCAGGAGGTGCTGCAGAGCACTGAAGGGCCCTGCCTGCACAGAGGCCATCGCCTCCACAGGGCTCGCTTTTGGCTCTGGTTTGGATTCACATCTTGAATTCTCTCCTCTTGAAGAACCAGGCAAGGTGCTTCAAGAAAGTGTCAGCATGTCAGACACCATGGTATCTTCGCCTCTGCGCCCTGCGCTTTCTGAGCTATGCCCCGAGCTGTGCAGGCTAGCAAGTTCGCCCTACACTCGCGACAGAGCCTGAAGTCTGAAACCCTCGCGGCCTCCTTCGTGCGAGGCATGCATGTTCATCAAAGCCTGAAGCCCCGAAGCCCCGAACACCCTTGCCTTCACATGCCAATCTACAACATCACACAAGGGCCCAATACTCCAATAGAGCGGAGCCATGGTTTTTGTTTCTATATAATTTCATTACAAAAACTACCCCTTCCGCGAAGCCCTTCCGCTATCCTTCTGCGAGTAGCGCGTGTAGTCTTTTTTGCTTCTGCTTTCCGCGGCTGCTTCCGCGAAGGTTTTTCGGCTGAATTTCGGCATCTGCTTCCGCGAAAGGGCTTCGAAGACTGCGGCAAAGGTTCCTGCGCATGCTCTTTTCGGTTGACTCCTTTGTCTTGGGTAGGTAGAGAGGCAAGTTACAGGATGAGCACGCATTATATGATATTGTGAGTACAC